CAAATAGACAGAGCTACATTACACTTGATTGCGAGTAGTTTTAATTCATATAGCATCGAGGAGCATAGGAAAGCCGTAATTTATTGTAGAGACGGGTTCAGTTAAAGAATGTAGTATTATGGTGCGACCAAATCCGAAGCAGAAGGTCAGGAGGAGTTCCGACGTCGACAGAGACATGGCCGCTCAGTGTTGCGGCTTAAGCCCTTATTAAAGGTAAATTTTTTTCCTAAGGGCTTAGGACCCTTAAGTAGGGTTAATAAGGGTTGCCCTTAATAAGGCCTTAGATCAAAATTTCCTAAAATGGACGTTTATTATGCGGGCGCGCTAGTGGGCGAGTTTCTACGGGGTGTACTCGTCCTCTGAGCCAGGAAGTGCTCCATCATCGGGCTCCTCATCGCTCTCCTCCGCTGCAAGCAACTCCATCATCAAAACCTCCCTCGTGAATTGTGCTGGCGGTGGCTTTCCTACGGCGCGATGGACCACGCCACCGAATAGGAGGTCGAGAGAATGAGGGAAAATTTTGGTAGGACGACGAGTCCCCGGAGTGGGAAGCTCTTCATCGTCTGTATCACCCTCGTCGCTATCTGCCGGTTTGTTGCTGGCTGCCTTCCACTTGGAGACGTCTGCGCGCCAAGACACCGCGGACTTTACCAACTTCGGCTGAGTCTCCTCCTCCCCATCGCCGTCGGCCGTCTTGAGAACATCAGCATAACGCGGAACCGAAATTAAACTCGCCGCCTTGTTCGCATCGTGCACGTTACGAGGTTTCCTCTCGTCGATAAGACCCTCCTGAAGGTGTTCAGTTCTTATACTCGAGCCGAGCTGCTTGCACGTCAGTGAACAGAAATAGTTCGGTAAGCGGGACCACACCTTAGACATTTTTTCCGGCTTCGGGATACCGAGCCGATTACAGAGGTGTGTCTTCTTTATTTTGAGGTCTGAGAATGAACACTCGTTTGAGGCCTGAATGACAACAAGGCCGAGCAGAAGCAAAGCGAAATTGGCGAGTTCAACAATGTTGGGGCAGGCTTTGAGCTGTTCCCACACTTTCATCGGGTCATTTCCCTGCGACTGTTTCAGTACCTTGCAACTGAGAAGTGAAGAGGGAAAACATGTACATTATCTCGCCTGAACGTCTCTTTATTCGCTTCCCATGGTGCGAAATCCCCTGTCCCTCTCATATAGTGAAGGAAGGCTTCGGAAACCTGTCGCTCCTTCGATTCCCACTCACCCTCCACTATCGGAGAAGTAGATGGCCGAGACTGGACACGCCGGTAGAGCTAAATAGAATTTCAGTCATAGAATGCAAGTAAGAACATATGAACACGCCGTCATGAGTTCAGCGCTTAAAACAAAGACATTGAGCCCCACTTTGTCTCCGAAACATTTGAGGACCTCGTAAGGATTAAGGATGAGGCAGAAGGTAAAAAACGGCTGGTCCAATGCCGCCCAACGCTTCTTGATCCGAGCACACATGCCTTTAGACACAACCTTGTTTTTGTGAGCCTGGAAATGGCGAAATACTCCCGCGAAAGACAGCAGGACCTGGTCTGCCTGCATCCGGTCAGCCTGGTTGATGTTCGCCGCGTAGCAGATCGGTTCTATGTCATCAACGAGAGTCTTGAGCCCAGTCCAGAAATCATTACTCTCAATGACATCACATTGTTTGTTCGCCATTGCTGTCATTTTGGCTTTGGCTTTGGTGTTTTTCTTGGCCCCGACCTGAGCGGCGACGATTTCCTCGCATTGAAGATAGGCGGCATACCGAAGGGGGACTTTGAGCAGAAGCAGGCGACGAAATGCGAGATAGTGAGTTGTCCAGCGGGTAAGGTTGGCGACGAGATAGACGAAAATCGTAAAATTTTTAGCATACTGGGCAGCATCAAAGATTTTGCGGACGCGATCGTGGGAGAGAATCCACCCGACGAGGACAGTAGCCATCTCCGTGATCTCAGCGGCATCCTCGTTGATGGTGAAGTAGTCCCCGAGGATCAGTTGTCCCTTAAAACCGAATTAAGGCCCGAAATTAGTGCAAAGTGGTGCGACGTACCTGGTGTGCACAGCAGGGAACCACAAATATCCATGTCCTCTTGGCTCCAAAGTCTTTCTGTCCCCGCTGACTACCTCCATCATTATCACAGCAGAATAGCACCACGATACAGCCATATTTGCTCTCCATATTATCAACCATTCCTTCGAAGGCAATGCACATGGCTGCGCTGTCCTTGTGATGTCCGTTGGACTTGATCAAGTCCACCAAATACGACTGTCAAGTATACGGTGAGCCACAAATAGGTCCCGGTTCGATAAACCTTACATGGGTGCTTGTCGCGACGTTAACACCTGTGATAGAGTTGCGACTATCATCCTTCCAGCCGTCTGTGCTGTAACGATAAATTGATTAGCCGTGGCGAATCAGAGATAGAGATTACGCACGAGAGAACCACATTTTGGCCCTTCAGAGCCCCTCGAAGCGTCTTCTCAACCTTTGAAGAGGATCCCAAGTCGCTGTATTCATAGCTAAAAGGTGTGCAATAGGAAACGAGAGGGATTACACTTCCAGGCCCCGTCCGACATTGAATGAGCATCAAGAAGGAACCAGAAACGGCGTCAAAGCGGAGTTTGAGGTGCTCGGCAATTCGGCTTCGCCTATGCACAGCCAGGTTTACACCATGGCAGGAATGATGGAGGCGGTAGAGTGGTTGACCCGCATAGTGTACGCGTGGACTCGCGTCCCGATACGGCCCGTGACAGCCATAAAGCTATATTAAGGCTTAATTAAGGGTTAACAAGGATCTGAGCTGAAGCTAAGGCCTTATCTTAAGGCCTTTTTAAGGGTTACCCTTAATTAACCCTTAGCCCTTAAGCTGCAACACTGCGGCCGCTAGAGTCCAGAGAAGACTCTGTGATACTAAGATTATTAGTGGAACTCTGAGCCTGATCAGCTCACGTACAGAGGCTAGCCAATGTACAATTCTGCTGTAGTTGGGACTAATGCTGAGAACATAGACTGAGGTGCGTGTGGTCGCGACGAAGTGCCACAAGCGTCAAGACGCGAGGAGTCACAATGTGTGACTGACGGTGACACAAGCTCGAAAAGTCGGAAGGCTTTTTCTTCTGCTACATAGAGATACATGCTCTGCTTCCAAAATAAAATGTGCTCAGAAGGTATGGGGCCAGTGCACCTTGATCTCGAATTTTTTCTGTTTTCTATTTCTGTGGCCTCCAACTATGAGATTTTGAGCTCAATAGCGATAATACACATGAGGGATTATAAATTGTGAAAAGCAAAATCAAGGTGCACTAGACCCATATCCTGCGAGAAATTACTCTCTTTTGCGCTCAGAGATTTACCTTTTGTGATCCAACGAAACAGTCGTCGAAAGATTTGGGTCACAAGATCGGCCGGCAATCCGGCAACTCAGGCGTGGGAATAATCATTTGGACACGATCATTGCCCACCACCACTGATAGGCATCGCCACGCACGCCAAGCAAAAATGCGAAGTCGTCTCATTTGAGTCATTTCCGTGTGTTCGCGCTTCCGGCGCCTCGTCTTCACGCAATCGTCCTGTCTACCTAGACGCGGAAAGAGACTTTCGTTCGACGGCCAGTGGCTCGGGCTCGAGTCGAACTAGCTTCTTCTGCTTGGAATTTCAAGTTAAAATAGACCGCCTACATTGTTGGCCTGCCTTCTCCATTTCGCCTTCAATGTTGTCAACCGGAATATTCTCGCAAAAAAAAGGCACTTGGCCGAAAAAGCAAATATCTAGTGCTATAGGCTCGGGCTCGAGTCGAACGAGCGCTTTCTGCATTCCACTTTAATCAAGCCCTTGTCAGACGGAGCAGACCCACCACCGAGCTTTACCTGCTGCTGCTCTGGACTGGATATCCTCATGAGTCTTACGCGTCCGGAAGAATAAAAAAGTTCTCAACGACGGCACAATTATGGCTCGGGCTCGACTCGAACGAGCATTTTCTACTTTATATTTCAGGGCACTGTCAGATGGAGCAGATGCGGGCCCTCCGCCACCGAGCCTTTCCTACTTCTGCTCTGGACTGGATACTATCCTCATGAGTCTTACGCGTCCGGAAGAATAAAAAAATTCTCAAAGATAGCACAATTATGGCTCGGGCTCGAGTCGAACGAGCAGTTTCTGCTTTCGCATGAAAGGTCTACGACAGATACGGCAGATGCGGACCCTCCGCCACCGAGCCTTGTCTACATATGCTCTAGTCAGAATATTCTGGCGTCACGGCGTGCACCAGTAAAAAGGAAGGATCTCTATACGCGAGACATGACTCGGGCTCAAGTCGAACGAGCATTTCTACTTTTTATCTTCACAAGGACATTGCCAGATGGAGCAGATGTAGATCCTCCACTACCGGGCCCTACCTAATTCTGCTTTGACCTGAATATCGTCCGAGTTGCAATAAATAAATCTGGCGCATTTGTAGGAAAAAGAGGTATGGAAAACATGGCTCGGGCTCGATTCGAACGAGCTTCCTCTGCTTTTCGACAATATTTTCATTTACATACAGCAGATGCGGACCCCCTGCCACCGAGCCTCACATACTTCTGCTTTGGGCTGGATATCCTCATAAAAATTTGGCGCACTTGGAGCAAAAAGAGGAAGGGGAATTGCGAAATCATGGCTCGGGCCCGATTCGAACGAGCGTATTCTGCTTTCAAATGCAAAGAAATATCATTAGTTGCAGCAGATGCGTGTCCTCCGCCACCGAGCCTTGCCTACTTCTTCTCTGGGCTGAATTGGGACTGAATACCCTCATAAATCTTGCGCATCCGGAGGAATAAAAAAATGGCTCGGGCGCGATTCGAACGAGCTTCTCTGCGTTTCGACAACATAATCATCTACATAGCACATACAGCAGATGCGGACCCTCCGCCACCGAGCCTTACCTACTCCTACTTTGGCCTGAACATCGTCTCGATAAATCTTGCGTACCAGGAGTAATCAAAAATCTCATACAACCAATCTATGGCTCGGGCTCGAATCGAACGAGCACCTTCTGCTTTCAGCTTCGAAGACTCAGACAAATGCAGCAGATGCGGACCCTCCGCCACCGAGCCCTTCCTGTCTCCACCTTGGCCTGAATATTCCCGCGATACCGTGACGTCTTGCGCACCAGGAGAAAAAGGGATGTTCAGTTATACTATTGCTGGGGGCTCGATCCGAACGTGATTTTCAACAGCATTTTCATTTACATACAGCAGACGCGGACCCTCCGCCACCGAGCCTTGTCTAATTCTGCCTTGGCTTGAATATTCTCGCAATGCTTGAACCTCGTGCATTTGGAGGAAAAATATCAAAAGCGCACAACATCGGGACAGGCTCGGGCTCGAGTCGAACGAGCGCTTTCTGCATTTCATTTTAATGAAGTCCTTGTCAGATGGAGCAGACGCGTACCCTCCGCCACGGAGCCTTGCATGCTCCTGATTTAGCTTGAATATTCTCGTGACAAATATTGCGCAACCAGAGGAATAAAAAAGTTCTCAAAACCAGTACCTGTTACAGCTGTTTCCGAAAATCTTGACGCTGGCCAAAAGTTTTTGCTCGTCCTGAGGGCTAAGGCCTACTGCTTTTGGTCCGGATCACCGACGTTTTCGGGATGGGCCCGGTCAGGCCGTTTGCAGGAGCGGAAGTAATTTCTGCTCCAAGAGTCGTTGGATCCCCCCAAAATAATTTGGCATGGGAAGAAAACATCAGGATGTATTTGTAGTAGCACTTTCGAAATTTATCCCTCACAAACTTGAAGTTTCAAAGGATAATGAACTTGTTGGAGCGTCGGTAGCCCGGAGCCGGATAGAGCCGGTCGTACCCAAAGCGGTAATCCTTAGCATTCATCAAAGTTGATGCGGGCAAAAAATTCCACGGTTTTCGGAAACAGCCGCTGTAACCAATCTACTTATGGCTCGGTTCGAACGAGCTTCTTCTGTTTGACTGTCAAGCGATTCTGCTGGTTTGTGAATTCATTCTCGAATGCGCTTCCTCCGAGTTCATGTGAGCCATCGGTTCATTTCTGCCCTTTCTCGGCGATTGGAGTTTTCAACTTTGGTCATCATGCTCAAAAGCGGTTCTCGATCATGACGAGTTGCGACTCCAAAGGAGAGTCTGGGTCTTCGGAGCTGTCGAGAACTTCCGGGTGTTAGATGTACACCACCCACCCTGCTTTCATCCTCTCACCGCCATGATCACCTTCGACAGTCTCCCCCACGCAGAGATGGAGGCCATGTGCACCCCAATGCACCGAGTGCTCTCCCCCATCCCTTGCGGCAAACCCGCCAATTCCCCAGACTCCGCCGGCGCCTCCACGGGTGCGCTCTACCTCGGCTCCATTGCGGCCATGCATGACCACGAGCTCCTGCACGAGCACCACATCACACACCTGGTGCAGGTGCTCGAGGCGCGGTGGGTGCCCCAGTCCGAGGACGCCGGGTTCGCGTGCCACCGGATCGACATCGAGGATCGTTCCTCGACGGCGTTGGGCCCGCACCTCGAGCAGGCGTGCAACTACATAAAAGCATCGTTGGACGGCGGCGACAGCGTTCTGGTGCATTGCCAGCAAGTGCGTCTCCGACGCTCGGTATGCAACGACGCCGTGTGCTGATCCGCTTCGTTATTGCCCGCAGGGCGTGTCCCGCAGCGCGGCCATCGTTATTGCGTATCTCATCCGCGACCGCGGGATGACATACGACTCCGCCTTTGGGCTAGTCAAGGAGCGGCGCCAGTGCATAAAGCCCAATTCCGGTTTCGTGCTGGCTCTCCGCGAATGGGAAAGTGCGTGCCACCCACCACCCGTCTCCCGCTAGAAATCCAAATCCTACTCATCGATTATCGCTCACCTGCATTGCATTTTGTATACGCTATTTGCACGACCATGTATTACGATTTACGCATACGCAATGGAATTACGCATTGGCATCATCCATAAATTATTAAAGTAGTACAAAAAATACAATAATAATATTACATTCACGCAACATCCTTCGCGGCTGCCGTCTTAGCCGTCAGGTTCCCTGTTGTCGAAAGCAGCGTAATCTGGGAGGTCGCCGCTTGTGCGTCGGGTGTGGGGTGGAGAGTAACCTGCGAACGCGCTAAGAGGCTCGTAACCGCCGTGACCTCCGAGTTCATGCTGAGCGTCGACCGTCCCCGTCCCCGCCGCCTTTGCAGCGCCAATACCGGGTCCTCCTGCTCGAGCTTGCGCGGCGGCGGCACCTGGTCACCGAACATGCCACCGATCTCCTCCAGGCTCTGGTGCCCAGTTTCGACGTACACGAGCCACACGACGAGCCCCGAAATGAGGCATGACCCGACGAGGAGGAAGTAATATGCGCCATGCAGGACTTCGAAGAGCGATGGCGTCCACAGACCAACGGCGGACTCGAACAGCCAATCGGACGCGGTTGTGAGCCCCATTCCCTTGGCGCGCATCCGCAGCGGGAAAAGTTCTGCACTTAGAAGCCACGGTACTGGGCCCCACCTGCGGGAGGACAATAGTGCTGTCAGCTTAGAAAATATGGCAGAATCAGAAGACGACATACGTAGCGCCAAAGAAGAATAGATACAGGGCCATTCCGATGAACACCCCGTTCGCACTTCCCATGCCTGAAATCCGCTGCGGCTGTCGTTCACGAAATAGTTCGATGACACCGATGGGCGTGAGCGAGGCCGCAAGTGCAACGCTGCCGACCAGCAAGAACCTGCGTCTTCCCAACTTGTCGATGCACAAAATCGCGGGGAGCGTACCGAGACCGTAGAGGATTGAGCACGCGCCGGAGCACAGCAGCGCGTGGGGCACATCGAATCCTGCGCGGGCGAGATTCTCCGGGAGGAAGTGCAAGATGGCGGTGATCCCGTTGAGCTGCGCGAACATGCGCGCCGTCCAGCCGATGACCGTGCGGCGCGTGTACTTCTTGAAAAGATCGCTCCACGGCGCGGCGCCCGCCTGCTGCTCGAACGCGACGGTGTCTGCGATCGCGTTGTATGTGCGGTTCACGCCCTCGTCCGTGACGTCGCCCGCCGCATGCAGATCCGCGAGGGTCCACAGCCCCTCGGCCTTGAACCCGTTCTGGATGAGCCACCGCGGCGTCTCGGGAAGGAAGAACGTCCAGATGGCGAGGACGAGAGAGACGAGCGCCTGCACCCCGTACGGCCCGCGCCACGCAGTCTCCGAGTGGCGTGCGTCCATGAAGAACGCGTAGCCAGACCAGGCAGATACGGCATACCCTGCATTCATGCAGAACGCTTCGATTGAGATGAGGGTTCCGCGTGTGTTGGCCGGCGCAATTTCGCATTGGTAGACCGGGACCGCGGTACTTAGCATGCCGGCCCCGAGGCCTTGTATACAACGGCCGACTATGAGGGTGGTGAGGTTCGGTGCAAACATCTGGATGCATGCTAGAGGAGAATATGAGCACGGAAGTAGTAGAGAATAAGCGAACCACCAACACGCAATGAGATAGATGAAGGCGCCAATCCGGATGGATATGCGACGTCCCAGGTAGTCTGTAACGTAAGCGGAGCCCAACGCAGCAAATAGGGCGGTTATGCCAAGGCACGCAATCGTGATACCTGCGATTCAGAAGTTGGAACCCGAAGTTATAAGGAGTTCTATTCAAGCGAACCTGGCAGAAGAGGGGAGATCCCTGTTGTCCCGGTCTGGATTTGCTCGAGCGTGACCGATTTGCCGTACATGCGATGAATGAAGGAAGGCTGGACCTGGAACGCTGCGGTGATTCCCTGTGAGTACCCGAAGAGTGCGTCGCCGAGGGAGGCAGAGGCGCTGGAAATGTAAAGGAGGGGCTTTCCGGCCATTCTGCGTGAGTAGCGGACAGTGTAGGTGGCGGGCTTAATGGCATGGATCATGCGGAGAGCCATGACAGAAGAATACAAGGAGCAGTCGAAGAGACTCGCCCCAGGCGGCTGACTGAATTTTTGGTAGGGGTGCCTCGACTGCTCGGAGCCGGCGGATACAGCATTCCGAAAAACGGAGGCATGAAAAACAATGTGAGCCCGGAGGTTTCGAGTGAGATTTTTATCTGCATTATGCACTGAGTGCTCTTTCCAAATTCTGGTGGACAGATGGTCAAACCAGCCAAGACGGGCTGATCAATGTCACGGTACTGGGACAAACAAGAGCATCAGGTCACGTATCACGAGGTCACGGTTAAATACTGTACCAAATGTTCAGGTGGCGGGTGACGGAGGGTCGTGAACTGAACAAATTTGGTACCTGTGACGGCGATGGCCAATGAATGAACACCTTTTTTTTTCAAGGCGCCAGAGTGACCAGAGGGCGATTTTGAGCTAATTTCGAAAAAAAAACTCTGGCAAAATACGGCAAGAAAAACCACTAGTGCTCCTCCCATGCTGGGCCTTGGTGACGCCTCGCTACGGTCTTCGTACGCTGGCCCCGCCCGAGAACTACGGGCGCTTCCTCCGACTCTTCAGCTTCAGCATCAGAATACTCCTCACTTCAAGTTCCTGACTGAGCAATCCCACTGTTCTCATTTACTGTAAAATTAGCCGCAACAGACGATCCACCAGAAATGAGATGGCCCGACACAACATCAAGAGGAATGTCACAGTCGTCGTACACGTCCAAGTCCAGATACGGCTCTTCGTCAATGTTATCGGCTGGGATGACAACATTATGGGTCCCAGTCGTCTGTGTAAGAGCCACGTGTGGAGGGCCGCATTGGTCGTACGAAGGTCGCGAAGACCGGTGTTGGAGATTGGCAATCCAGCACAAGCCCGAGAGATGGCCGAGGTGCTGACTAAATAAATGCTGACTGATATGGAACTGGAGGGAACACACCAGAACATACGGGAAAATAGGGATTCTAGTATAAATACAGTACCTGAAGTAGAGCTCCTCATGAGCTTGTAACCAAAGGCCTAACAGCCAGGAGTGATATCTCACTTGGTTCACGAGATAAAACCAACAACCGGCGAGAGCTTCAGGCGACGTGAGCGATGCATGTGAGAGATTCCAATCACCGACATGGCACATCTCAAATGCCTAAATATCACAAAATGGTTAGATTGAGGCGTAGATCGAGAGCAACGG